GTAACTTTATATTTGTACAAATTTGAACGTGCTCTTGAGAATTCTAATTTTGGTACATATATGGCGTGCTTATGAGACACAAAATAGGGGATTCTCATAAGCACGCCATATATCAACCAAAATCCAGAATTCTCATTAAAATTTTCCCTTTTGCAAAATTCAGAATCTGCATGAGAATAGTCATGCAAAAGTAACATTATTTTTGTATATATTTGAACGTGGTCATGAGAATTCCAGATTTTGGTACACATATTGCGTGCTTATGAGACACCAAAATAGGGATTCTCATAAGCACGCCATATATGAAGGAAAAACCAGAATTCTCATGCAAATTTTCCCTTTTGCAAAATTTAGAATCCTCATGAGAATAGTGATGCAAAAGTAACTTTAAATATATATATCTATACTTTTCACGTTCTTTCCTACCTCTGTATAATGGGTATACCGTGAAAATAATATCGGCACTCAATTGAATGCCTAAAATCTCAAAGATTTTCGACTCAATATTTTACGTCTGAAATGTTTCATAGATACACTTGAAAAAAGCACTGTTCTAGCTCCTTGCTACCTCTGTAAAATGAATATAACGTCTAAATAATATCGGCACTTAATTGAATGCATAGCATCAATTTATATATTGCGTAGATTCTCGAAGATTTTCTTCAATATTCACGTCTGAAATGTTTATACATTTACATTTCAAAACAACACTGTCTCGCTCCTTCCTAGCTTCGAGAAGAAGAGAAGCGCATGTTATAAAATTTACAATAACGACAACAATTCCTCGAATTTTTTGTAAACTTGGCAAAAGACCTAAAATATATTGAAATAAGACAACTGAAATTGCCTTAATAACCTTCAAAGCACTGACTAAGTACGATAATTCACTACGAACAAATATCGTATACACCCCCCGGAAAGTTTACTGTATGACTGAATGAATGACTGACTGACTCGTGTGAATTTTCCCCCAGTCATCACAATACTGTGAAGTTTCGAAGAAACTTCACACTAAAAAGGAGTTATAGCTAGTGTAGGGGAGATGGTCTAGTGGAAGGGATGAAGTGTTGCAAGTGTGTGAAGCCAGGATCGTTTCCCGCTTCTGTCGAAAGCATTTTAATATCTGGCATCGTTGTTAATTAATTCCACCAGAGACGAGAAAGAGTTAAGTAGAATGAAAAAGGAAGTTACAGCGGCTGTAGGCGAGATGGTCTAGCGGTGAGGACGAAACGTTGCATGCAAGTGCGTAAAGCCAGGATCGATTCCCGGTAGTGCAGAAAGTATTTTAATGTCAGGCATCGTTGTTAATTAATTCCACCCGAGACGAGAAAGAGTTAAGTAGAATAAAATAGGATGTTATAGCGACTGTAGGCGAGATGGTCTAGTGGTAAGGACGAAGCGTTGCAAGTGCGTGAAGCCAGGATCGTTTCCTGCTTCTGTCGAAAGCATTTTAATATCTGGCATCGTTGTTAATTAATTCCACCAGAGACGAGAAAGAGTTAAGTAGAATAAAAAAGGAAGTTACAGCGACTGTAGGCGAGATGGTCTAGTGGTAAGGACGAAGCGTTGCAAATGGGTAAAGCCAGGATCGATTCCTGGTTGTGCCGAAAGCATTTTATTTTCAGGCATCGTTGTTAATTAATTCCACCAAAGAAAAGAAAGAGTTAAGTAGAATAACAAAGGGAGTTGCAGCAAGTGTAGGCGAGGTGGTCTAACGGTAAGGACGAAGTGCTGCACGTGTGATAAGCTAGGTTCGATTCCTGGTTGTGTCGGAATCATTTTGGGCAGGGAAATACATAGTCATACATGCAGCTGTAGAAACCTGTTTTTTATCGTCTAATGATGCATCAATCAGGCATCGAAGAAGGCATAGGACCGTAGATTCTAAAAATACAATTTTCAGACCGACGTATACATTCATCTTTCCGCTACAGGGACCTTGAAATTCAATAGAACAACAGATTCGAAACAGCCCAAACCCTAACCCTCACTTATATAATACTAACTTTCACGGTTTTTTCGATTACACAGCTGAAAAAAATTGCTTTTTATCTCCACGTCCGGCCGAATGATGAACGAATGAGACATCGACAGAAAGCTAATGGATCGTAGACTTCGGGAATACAAATTACAGGCTGGCCCAAATTCAAGTCTCTGCTACAAGGGCCTTGAAAGTCGATAGAACATCAGGTTCGAAACCACATAATATTAACTTTCACGTCTTTTTCGATTATGCACTTGAAATAACCTGCTTTGTATCTTCATGAACTGTCTTTTGATACACGAGTAAGGCATCGACAGAAAGCCTATGGAACGTAGTTTCCAAAAATACAATTTTCAGACCGTGACAAATTCTAGTTTCTGCCGCAGAGGCCTTTGAAATTGAATAGAACGCAAGGTTCGAAACCGCATAACATTAACTTTCACGTCTTTTCCTATGATGCACTTGAAATAACCTGCTTTGTATCGTCACGAACAGTCTTTAGATACACGAGTAAGGTATCGACATGAACCCTATGGACCGTAGATTCTAAAAATACAATTTTCAGACTGGCGTACATTCACGTTTCCGCTACAGCGACCTTGAAATTCAATAGAACAACAGATTCGAAACAGCCCAAACCCTAACCCTCACTTATATAATACTAACATTCACGTTTTTTTCGATTACACAGCTGGATAAAACTACTTTTTATCTCCACGTCCGGCCTAGTGATGAAAGAATAAGGCATCGGCAGAAAGCTAATGGATCGTAGATTTCGAGAATACAATTTACAGGCTGGCCCAAATTCAAGTCTCTGCTACAAGGGCCTTGAAATTCGTTAGAACATCCGGCTCGAAACCACATAATATTAACTTTCACGTCTTTTGCGATTATGCACTTGAAATAACCTGCTTTGTATCTTCATGAACGGTCTTTAGATACACGAGTAAGGCATCGACACAAACTCTATGGACCGTAGATTCCAGAAATACAATTTTGAGACTGTGACAAATTCCAGTTTCTGCTGCAGAGGCCTTGAAATTCAATAGAACGCAAGGTTCGAAACCGCATAATATTAACTTTTACGTCTTTTTCGATTATACACCTGGAATAACCATGCAGCTTTTTATCTTCATGGACTGTCTTTTGATACACGAGTAAGGCATCGACAGAAACCCTACGGACCGTAGATTCTAAAAATACAATTTTCAGACTGGCGTACATTCACGTTTCCGCTACACCGACCTTGAAATTCAATAGATCAACAGATTCGAAACAGCCCAAACCCTAACCCTCACTTATATAATACTAACTTTCATGTTTTTTTCGATTACCCAGCTGGATAAAACGGCTTTTTATCTCCACGTCCGGCCTAGTGATAAAAGAATGAGGCATTGACAGAAAGCTAAAGGACCGTAGATTTCGGGAATACAATTTACAGCTGGCCCAAATTCAAGTATCTGCTACAAGGGCCTTGAAACTCGATAGAACATCAGGTTCGAAACCACATAATATTAACTTTCACGTCTTTTTCGATTATGCACTTGAAATAACCTGCTTTGTATCTTCATGAACTGTCCTTTCATACACGAGTAAGGCATCGACAGAAAGCCTATGGACCGTAGATTCCAAAAATACAATTTTCAGACCGTGATAAATTCTAGTTTCTGCTGCAGAGGCCTTGAAATTGAATAGAACGCAAGGTTCGAAACCGCATAACATTAACTTTCACGTCTTTTTCTATGATGCACTTGAAATAACCTGCTTTGTATCGTCATGAACAGTCTTTAGATACACGAGTAAGGCATCGACAGAAACCCTATGGACCGTAGATTCTAAAAATACAATTTTCAGACTGGCGTACATTCACGTTTCCGCTACAGCGACCTTGAAATTCAATAGAACAACAGATTCGAAACAGCCCAAACCCTAACCCTCACTTATATAATACTAACATTCACGTTTTTTTCGATTACACAGCAGGAAAAAACTGCTTTTTATCTCCACGTCCGGCCTAGTGATGAAAGAATGAGGCATCGACAGAAAGCTAATGGATCGTAGATTTCCAGAATACGATTTACAGGCTGGCCCAAATTCAAGTCTCTGCTACAAGGGCCTTGAAATTGAATAGAACGCAAGGTTCGAAACCGCATAACATTAACTTTCACGTCTTTTTCTATGATGCACTTGAAATAACCTGCTTTGTATCTTCATGGACTGTCTTTTGATACATGAGTAAGGTATCGACATGAACCCTATGGACCGTAGATTCTAAAAATACAATTTTCAGGCTATCTTTAAAACCTATGGACCGTAGATTCTAAAAATACAATTTTCAGGCTATCTTTAAAACAGGGAACGGGGAATCGGGGAATCGGGGAATCGGGGAATCCGGGAATCGGGGAATCCGGGAATCGGGGAATCCGGGAATCGGGGAATCGGGGAATACGATAAAAAGGGGAATCCGGGAATCGGGGAATCGGGGAATACGATAAAAATTTTATAAAAATTTAAATAAAAAGTTTATTCAATTTACAATTTATTTGCAATAAAAGAAAATGAAGCTTAATCGAAAGTTTGACGTCACACCAGAATTGCGGGACACGAAGTCGTGAAAAAAACCCAGTTTAATACTTTTAAACGGGCATTTAATGTAAACTTCACGCAGGATATAAACTAAAGCGAATGTGTAATAGCCATGATTGCGCTAAATTAAAGAGTTTCGGTATGCATTGTCGCCATTTTTTGTTGGCACTTGCATGTAATATAATATTTCATTACTTTGATTGTGATTGCGATTGTCAAATATAATAGCGGTAACACGTTTGCAAGTCGCTTTTTCCTGCTGACATTCATGATGTAATATGATATTTCATTGCTTTGATTGTGATTGTCAAATATAATAGCGGTAACACGTTTGCAAGTCGCTTTTTCCTGCTGACATTCATGATGTAATATGATATTTCATTGCTTTGATTGTGATTGTCAAATATAATAGCGGTAACACGTTTGACAGTCGCTTTTTCCTGCTGACATTCAGGATGTCTGGAGTGCATGGAAGCTTTAAAATGCCATCGCTAATAAAGCGAAGGCGAATAGATCATGGTCTGCCTCCAACTGTAGTTTTACTAACCAAGACTGAAGACCAGAGATAAATTTGCACAACTGAAAGTCTGAAACTATACTTTAACAAAACTTTATTTGTAAATGTTGCGGAGTTTGTACTTTGCTCTCGCCTGATTATGTTTTTCATGACTTCGACCATTCGAGTTGTACGGGAAAATAGAGAGTTTAAGTTCGACTTCGAATACCGATACCAACAACAGGTCATGTTCATGCGCTGTGGTCGCAAAAAGCACGAGGGCAAGTGCAGGCACGTAGCGAAGCATCTGAAGTTGAGGGGTGTCGGAGGAAGCACGAGGGCAAGTGCAGGCACGTAGCGAAGCATCTGAAGTTGAGGGGTGTCGGAGGATTTTACCTGAAATTTGAACTTCAATGACAATGATAAGAAATTTACCTGAAATGCATTAATTCAATGACAATGCTAAGAATTTACCTGAAATGCATTAATTATAATAGATAATTTTTTCCATTTAATGACAATGCTAAGAATTTACCTGAAATGCATTAATTATAATAGATAATTTTTTCCATTTATTTCCACTGTCATACTAAGTTTCCGAAGAAGGGGGTCTGTCTGGAGGGTGCTCCCGCTGAAAATTGTTACATTTTTCAAGCTACAAGACTGCTTTTCTGGCGTTTTCCCCCGATTCCCGGATTCCCCGATTCGAATTGGATCTAAATTTACTGTATTGGTTATCATTAATTTCACGAAAATAACGACTTTATTACGCAAATTTTACCTGAAATCTCAAACTGATTTCAACTTGAATTTTACCTGATTTTTACCTGAGTTTCACAGTTGGGGGGATTTAC